AGTGTAAGTAAGTAAGTGACTTAGGAATAGTTCTACATTTTGATAAATGTGCTTATTTTTCATTTTTCTAAGGGTAAGATGATAAGTTTAATATCACTCTCAAGCCAGCGCATTAACTAAGGAAGTATAGAGCAGGAGGTGATTGGATAAGCTTATATCAAAAGACTGGAAGCAGGGAGAAACAGCTAGCCTACTTTGTGTTACCGTCCCCCTGCCATCGTTCAGCAAGGAAGCAAAAAGAAGGAATTTCATGCTGAAAAGACCATAGCTTTGGAAAATAACTACTACTGCTGAAGCCTCATATTAGCTTCAACTGATCTGAAGTAATTTTTACACAGAACAAGGACTCTATCAGCGACCAATAAGCTCTTTTAATGTACATACTGACATGTCTGTACTGTTTTAAGATAGACTTGAAAAGATATGAACTTATCCTTTAACATGATATCAGAATATTACTACTGGGACTGTATATTCAATAATAACTAATATATAAATAACTCTAGTGTTTCAGGTGTGAGAGAGTGATTTTTATTACAGTTAATTAAAGACCTAAGAGCCCAGGTACATGGAAAAAAATCTGTTATAACATCTTATGGTATGCAATGTCGTCTGCTACTTTGGCTTCTTAAAGTCCTCAAATGGTGTCAAATAACATATAACAGGTGTGTGTATGTCTGACAGGTGAGTAAGTGTGTGCTGTGGGTGAGTCGAGATATTATATGACTGAATGTTCGTGTGAGCCCTGACAGATTCACAGCTGTTTTGTGTTTTTATTTTGTTGTTTTGTCATCTTGTGGTGTAGTGTTGTAGACAGAGAAAGTCTCTTCACCCCTGTGTGAGCTTAAAAGGCTCTGTTAGAGATACTGTAGTAGTAGTTTGTGTGTGAGGGACACTCCTGTAATGTAGATGTTAGATGAAATATGCAGGCCAACGGAAATGGAAACAATCAGGTGCCAGGCATTCCTCCTCACTGAAAGTCACAGAGCTATACAGAGCATGAGGGTCAGACCTTGGCAAGAGAGAAGGCAATAGAGCCAGATTTGCTCTCATTTTTTATCTTTGTTCTTTCTTCTGTCTTTAGACTAAAGTAGATTTGTGTCTCTTTTAATTTTGTCCTTCCTTGTTCTGTTTTATCTCTTCGTACAGTTTTTATTCAGTGTTTGTTTTCAAATTGGATCTTCCTGATTTGATACTAGTAAATTAGCAGTTTATCAGTTCATCAAACATCAGTGCTTCCTTGTTAATCGAGGATTAACCTCAACAGACTCAGTGGTACAATTTACTGTTAGTGGATTATAGTTTTGTAAGATATAATTTTCACATGATGTTGCCAGGAATGTCATCTTGAGCAAGCTAAAAGCAACTAACCAACAAACGGGTGTAAACAAATAAGTAGATGAAGGTGAATCATCAATTCTTCTCTTCTTCTTACTTGCACAATGTTTCATTGTGTATGTGGATCTCCTGCTCTTTCCTGCACCTCATTGGCCTCTTTTTAATAAAAATACCCTCAATTTCACATTTATTGTTTATTCACAGCTTTCTGACTTATCTTCCTGCCCGTAACAGGATTATTTGAATAACCAGTTTCCTAATTAATGCAGTAATTACTCACAGAACAACCAACAAATTCATGGACATACACTCAAAGAACAAATTGGTTAGCATGGTTGGTTTTAGTAGGAATCTTACCTGCTTAACATCTCATATGCCCCAGGGTTTTTCTTATGACACTCACTATGACCCAAACTACTAGCATGCTCGCGAAAGTATGAAGAAAATGTTATTAGTGTGAGTGTGAGAGTCGAGTGAAACCACCCTCATTTTGAAAGAATGACCTCATTGACAATGAGAAATAATCTTCCCTGTGGCAACGGCAGGAGAACACTTCATATCATCATCATCACACAACAGGTAAAGTGGGACACGCTTCTGGTTTCATAAGCACTTTCGCTGAATCTGATCTAGATCTGGATCCATATCCTGAATTATACTCTGAGTACTCCTTTCAAATCTGAGACGCCTCAGCCTCTTCCAGGCAGGAATTCCCTGAAAACATCATGAAAATCTAAGACCAATGATCTTTTCAAGCGCACCTAACTTACATAATGACCTGAAAAACATTCGAAACTCCTACACATATTTTTCAATTTGAAATTCTTTTGGTGGTTCTAACCTGATTAGAGTTAAAGAATAGGCGGCTCTCAGACGCAGAGTCTCGACTCCATCCTGGTTCCCTCCCATCCTCCCACCACCATCCAACACCGGTCCCTCTTTAAACTTCTCCATCATTTATCCCTCACCCTTCCTCCCTTTATCCCTTCATCTCTCATCCTCCATCCTTCAACCCTCTATCCATCATCCTCCTTACAGTACATCATCTTGTTTCACTTTCATTCATAATATGCAATAAGTAATTCTTATTCCATATTCTTATTGCTGTGGTCTTTGTTAGTCAAGTAAAGTTTTATAACTTGGTTTGGGAACAAAGACCACGCCTTAAACTCATCTCATTTCATCTGAAAAACTACTTAAGAACACCTTATCAATTCACTTCTTCTTCTGTTCACCTATTCTAATTACATATCCTTATTGGCATGCTTTTTGTTAGTGAAATCAGTCTAAGTGACAAGTGGCTTCCAGTGGGTCAGTGCCAGTGCTTCTCGTGCAAAGGTGGCTGAAGCCAGTTCCCAGTTGACCCCACTTCCTGTCATCTGCAAAGCGTCACGTAAATCCTGTCTCAGATCACGGCCTCCCCACCGGGTCTGGTTCCAGAGAGGTCCAGAAGCGGTCAGAGGGAAAACACACACTGAAGTCTCCTGATCTTCTCCCACACCAGGGCCCATGGCCTGCTCATGCTCATTAAACCCGCACAAAGCATGATGTGCTCCCCCGCTCAATCTCATAGACGAAGACCTGAGCATGCCACACATTGCTGCACAATGGAATTATAATACTCGCCCTCGGGCAACTGACAGTGGGCAAAACAAATAATGTGCACACACAATTAGGTCATTTTCATGATTGGCCAAGTTCCTCTGACGGGGAATCCTATGCCTGGTCCTTTGAAGTACAGGACAAAGATTATGAGTTGGTGAGGAACCATCAGGTTCAGTTGAGATGATTAATATATTTTCCTCGCTTCTGTGTGTGGTTTTGTGTTTGAAACTTGAATTGTCCAGAGTGAGGGGTGACAGTAAATGTGTGCTCTCGGTATCGGTTGTCTGTGTATGGATGGGAAAATTTATCTTGTCATGTCTGTGTTTAGAAGGGATGATGCCTGGCGACCTGACTCACCAGCTCTGTGCCACCAGTCACGTCAACATTCCTTCCACCATATTTCTTTTTGGAATGGTTTGCACAGCCCGCTTATACTGCAGAGACACTTTTTCCTGTAGCCTTTTGGATTGAGCACTAATCTTCACACCTCACATACAGTAAAAAGATTTTTTTCCTCCATCTGCAATATTTCCCAGCAGCACTTAGACCAACTAATGGAAAACTTTAGGTATGTGCATAAAAGCATAGCCACTTACATTCTTACTCAATCTTTGGTAAAGGCCATGTTGCGTGTGTTATGTTGGTAATCTAAAATCAACACAAAGTAATATCAAAACAAAGGCTGTACACAGAAACTGTTGCTGGGAATATACTGTGATTTTATAACTCAAAGGCACTTATTTTGCCTCGGGAATTTGAACTGGTACAATTCTTTCATCTAATTAATACTCTCAAAGGTAAAGGGAAGGTTTTAGTGAGAGATTCCTGAACTGTTCCTCTTCAACTGATTTATCTCACTGTGGCTTATCTGAGAGCTAGCTGTGATCCTGCCATGTTGCCTCACAGCAAGCCAAGTCTGACTAGTATTTACATGTTTTATCCGATGTGCTGCAAAGTGAAATGTCACCCTCCTAGATGAGTTACGCTGAAGTTGTAGCTCACTCAGACTTCATAATATGAACCACATTATAAAGATTTGTTGTTGTTATCTGTTGTTGCACTTGCACTTTCAGACCTGTAGATAGAATAGGTTTATGCATACAGTAAGTGTGAGTAACTATGACGATAAAGTTTGAGCATGAAAGTTAATTCTTGACAAAATGTTCTTTTGTAATCCTCCATCCAACTGACATTGAGCGAGACATGGGGTACACCATGGACAGGTCACCCACCTCTCACTTTCACACTGTTGGGCAATTTAAAGGTCACCAATGAACTTAATCTAACTTGTATGTCTTTGGACTGCGGGAGGAAACGGCATCGGACCAGAAGGGGAGAACGTGAAAACTGCAAGCAGAAAGGCTCAAATTGTTAGGAACTACAGCACCAAATTGCCACCACTGTATATCTTTTTGAAACATATTTCAGCATATCATACACAGTAAATCTGCAATACGACCAACATATTTTACACAATGCTGCCACCAACATTAGGAGTCTCTAACACTTGAGGCTGAGGTGTGCAAATGGAAAAAAATAGTCAGTGGTAAATTAAAATTTTGTATCTTCTGTTTAATATTTGTCTTTCAGTTGGTCCATATTCTTGTGACAGAATATTGACTTGCTGTCCTAATTACGATTTACCCTACAAATATAGAAAACATATCTGGAAAGACATATAACCTCCTGATATCACACCTACATTAAAATATCTCTGGAAGGTTTAGAAAACTGTGTGAGTTTTTAACAGAGGGTGTTACTGACTGTCAGAAAAGCAACAGACAGTTGCTGCTGTGACAGTCTGCTTTTATGGGTTTTTAAAACTTGCTGTTGCCCTATACCCTATTCCAAAATACAAAAATAATAATAATATTTTTTTTTCAAAATTGCCTTAATTCAATCATTGATACCATCTGAACTGCTATATGCTTACTGTAACACTCGTCTCGCACTTGGACTACATTAGAAAGTAAAAGCTTGCTTGCTTCTGTGGCATCAATCAGAGAGTTTAGATAAGAGCATAAAGTCACAAAGTGAAAATGACAAACAATGTCAGATGATTTCTGAGAAATGTGCTACATTTCCTTGTATTTATTAATGTCAACTTCGCAAGTCAATAGGCATTGAGAACAAAATGAACAAACTGCATGGCTGTTTTAAATCCATACAATTGAATGATACAGTTTTCATGGAATGAAAATAAAATTCTAAACAACAGTGCAGACTCAGAGTTATTAAAATAATTTCAAATTACCCAAGCCAATACACAGACTGAAGGAGTAAAACAATACTGAAAATAGGAATGCACTTTACTGTGTGTTAAATAAGATAAATAAAGAGAGTCAAGATCAGCCATTAAGTTCACTGTGAGCATCACTAGTATATTCTGCTATGGCTAATTCTCCATACAAATAAATTACATTAATTTTCATCAGAAGTATAAAGTATGCTGCTGTGCAGTTCAAACTGTAAACTAACTTTCAAGTATCAAGTAGTTGTAGTGACTGAGGTCATTAAATTAACAATAACTTACAACACAATGAGTAGTTCAATAAATAAACAAGGCCATAGACTGTATAGACATAGACAAAAATGTACAAAATCACATATAAAAAACATCTGCGCTGCACTTTTTCATGTATTTCATATAAATATAGACAATAAATACCAAAATAAATAAATAAATAAATACATATATTAAAAAAAGGACCTAAGAAAATTAGAGAAATTAATACAAATTAGAGCTCAGTACTCCTTTCTTTCAAAATTACTGTGGGGTTGATATCACTGCTGCTTGAGTGTGATGTGCTTGAGTTGATGATCATGGATCCCGTATCTTTAACGTCGGGCACATGAAAGGACGCCACGGGACAGGGGCCCTGGACGTTATTGCAGACGAGCCTCTGCAGGGAGGCGGTGTTGACAATGTCGAAGCCCACGGTGCCACCGAATGTGCTGGGCTTCCAGTACTCTGGGGAGCAGATGGGGTTTCCCATTAAGCCCTTGAGGGAGTAAGGGGCCCCCATCTCCACCATCGTCTCCCCAAAGATGGCATTAGGCCTGGGTTTCTCCACCAACAGTCCTGGGTAGAGCTCCACAGCGTCGATGTGTCCATACATCTCCTCGAGCACTGCGGCCATTTCTTTTTCTCCTGAGTAGCACAAAGGAGGGAAAATTTTGGTTAGTCTGGCTTCTCTCTCTTGTCAGCAGCTGTAAATCTTGCTGCTAGTCCAAATATGAGCTCCGTATTTTGACTGCTTCAAATCCAGCAAATAGGAGATAAAAACGATCACTCTTCTTTCCTTTACTTCCTTCTTCTGGTGCTGATATTTCTCTCTCCTCATACATCACAATTAGTTTTTTAATCAACATTAAAACCTCGTTTCTCGTGAACTTAAAATCTCCTCTGAAGCAGGAGGTCTCTCCTGTCTGTTTATGTCTTGCTCTCTTGTGATGACAATCTGCTTACACTATCTCAAGATGAAATGAATATCTGGCTCTTAGACTCATGCAAATAGATTCCTGACCTCCAAAGCTGCTGGGGACAGAAAATATTTCTTTAATAATAAGCAATCTATTATATAAGCTTTGATCTGTAGCGGCTAGGAGTGTTTCTCCAGCTTGCATATAATTCCTGTAATCACTTCATGACAATGCTATTAATAATAAAAGAATAATTTGGCCTGAGGCAACATTTCTTTTCACTTCATGTTGATAATAGCCTCTACCCTAATCTTCTGACATCAACCTTTCCACCTGTACATATGGTTTTCATCTTGACATCTCACCTGTCATGTCTTCAAAAGAAGTGTAGGGCTTCATGGAGAATCGTTTCCTGTAGGCATTCAGAGACTGGTAGCGCATTTGTCTGCTGTTTTCAATGGACTTAATGGCCACATACATGACAGGTCCTGGAACATTTCTACCACCAGCAACCTAAAAGAATGAATGGAAAGTCAGTTAATCAGGCTTACAGTAGTGACACTAACAGTGACGTTACAGTTATAAATCTAAACACTGTTCTTACCCGTCCTGCAATCTGATTGGAAAACGACTCCACAAGGTTGCTGATGCCGTGCTCAGTCACTACAGAGTTGTTGAAGATAAACTGTTTGTAGTTGTAGTCTTTCTCCTCAATGTGGAAGCTATCAGGCATCAGTGGGTGCCAGTGGTACAGGGTGTTGAACTCGGATGCAATGCGGTTCTGGTACTGGAAGCGCTGGTTGAACAGCAGCTCGGGGTCAAACTTGAGCTTGAAGTTGTAGCCGCTCAGGTGCTGCACGTAGTCCTCGATCACAATCTTGATGGTCTCTCCTACAGGACAAATTGGTAAATATTTTAATATGAAGTCCAGTTTCACATTATTTTGGAGATGATTTGACTGTTATAGTAAATATTTAGTGACGGTTTGCAATGACAAACTAAACATTTCCTGTTATTCTTTTCAGTAAATCCTGTTTTTCACAGTAGAGTGTGAATGCTCCACTGTGTGCAGCATTGTTGCTAGTAGGTGATTACCAAAATAAAAAGTACAACTTCCTCTTTTTATAAATCCCATGGTAACTATATTAGTACCATAGCAAGAGCATCACATGCCTTTCTTGTTATTATTTTCCCAGATACATTACAGCAAATGTTTTCCAAAGTTTCGTGCAGTTGTCAGAATCCAATAAACTTACCGATCAGAATGAGCCGTGAAGTCTGGAAAAGCCTTTCGTCGTCCCAGTCAGGGTGGACCTCCTTCAGCACTTCACACACCCGGTTGTGTTCCCGTAGCCAGATCGTGGCGTACATCATCAGACCGGGGACCAGGCCGAACGCCTCGTGGCCCACAGCGAAGCGGTGAGCTTCAGGAACATGAGGAGGGTAGTGCATTTCAGCGCCCACTTCCTTTACTGTTGGGGGGTACATCTCTCCATTCACGATCTGCAGAGTTAAGCAAGAGAGGAAGCAACAGTTAGACACTTGTGTGGTCTGAGGCATTCGGCTGTTTAAACTACGTTACAGCTGTCTCTCTTCATACCTGATATTTAAGCTTGCCATCCTTGAAGAGTCTGAGCTTGTGTTGCCTCTCCAAGTTGTCTCCATAAATGTGGCTGAGGTCCACCTGAAAGCAAACACAACACCATTAATAAACTATGCATTTATAAATGTGGTCTCTTTGTCTGCCTTTCCTGACTAAACTCTTATGTGGCTTGAAATCTGCTGTGCTTACCCCATGGCCTTTAGCTACAGTAAAAGCAGGTCCTTTCTTCATATCAGATTTGAAGAACTGGTGGGTGAAATGCTGTGCGAAGAATGCAAACATCAGGCTGGTGCCCTGTGGGTCCGGGATGAACTGTCTTCTCAAGAGAAGCTTCTCAGCAAGGACTTTAGCATCAGGAAGCTCCTTTTTACCTGGGGAAACAATTAAGAACATTACAGTAAATAAATGAGACTAAAATCCAAAACAGAGTCAGTTTATGAGGATAAAACTGAACTGAACTGAACTGAACTGAAACTGAAGTTTACTTTCATTGCAAATTCCTGAGTTTTTTCTGAAGTTCAGTGTAAAAAAAAATCAGTTTCGTGTTCTTTAGTTTTGGCTTGCTGGGGCAGGTTTTTTACTGTGTTCCCTCAGCACATTTCCACTCTGTCAATCCAGCAGAAGGGATAATTTCAATGTGTGCACTTCCCCTGATGTAATGGGGCCAAGAGACTCTTACTCAGTATTCAAGAATCTCAGAAAACTGGTTCTCCAAAGGCAGAGACTCACCTGCAACTCCCATAGGGGTTGGGCAATCCTCTGGCACAGGGGGGAGGGTGCGCGTATAGTAAGAAAGGTTAGAATAGGCTTCCCAGCTTTTGTAATGATAATCCGCATTGAAAGTTGGAGGACTGTCAATCATGTGGGATCGGGCTGGAAAGAAAAAAAAGCATTTCATTATTAAAATAAGCCCTCAAACTGCTTTTTTACAACCTGCTGTACAAATGATTTGATGTTTTTATGAAGCAGTTTCCAATCCATCTTCTCATTTTGCCTTCAGCCATTGACACTCACATGTCAGTACATATCTCATGATGGCGTCTCTGAGAAATGAAATGTTGTTGATGATGTTCCAGAAGCCCTTGAAGTGGGTGAGAAGGTAGTGGACAGTGTTGGGCGATGGCTTCAGGGATATTTTGACCCAGGTGAGGAAGTCAGCTGTTAAGGCGAAGAGAGAGGGGATAAATTAATTATTGACAAATCACCACAACAAAGTACATCCTTTGATTTTAGAATCACCTCAAGTGTGCCCTTCATACTTACGTGTTGTGCAGTTTTGTCCATGAAATCCTGTGCGTGTGCAGTCACACTCATAGTTATCTGTCCCAAGTGCTGTGCATACGCCCCTGTTCTGGCATGGTTCTGAGCAACAGGGGTTACCTGTAACAGACGGACAATGTTAGGCGGCTATTGAGGATTCACTTAAGCTCTGATACCAACATAAATCTCTTAGGAAAGCCTAAAAAATATAATTAAATCCTCTTAAAAGACTACAATATTCCTTACATTATGATATCATAAATAGCTTGGCCAACGAAGACATAGTTTAATGGTATTATTTTAAATATTTCTAGTGTTATAGGCTGTATTACTATAATATCCATGTCAGCTATGGTGAGTTGTTGAGTGGTTTAAAATCACGGCAAAAAAAAGTCCCAAAACAAAACTTAAAACCAACTTCTTGCTCCTGGTTAAGCTGTTACAAATCATTTCAGTTTTTCTTTACTCACCAGCTTCGCAGATGAGAAATCCCAGCGCCAAGAGGGAAACCGTGAATGTGAGTTTGTTCATGCTCCAAGGAAATAGTCGATTTTTTTTCTATTTGCTATCCTTCTCTCCTCTCTCTCTCCTCTCCTCTGCAGTTGAGTCGCTCTGAGGCTGAGAGTGTCAATGTCCAAAGCGGCTCCCAGAGCACTTATATATACCCCACGATGACGTCACCAAATCCAAACAAAGTAATCGATTAGTAATAGGCCTATAACTAGGGATATTTCTTCTTTCACAATTCCAGTTGGATTTTTAATTTATAATTATTCTTTCTTCTTTTTTTTTGGCACCAAAAAAGCTATTCGGTTATTGTTCATTCGGATTTTGATTCAATTAATTTTCCTTCTTTTTTCAATCAAATTCCTTCAGTGGAAAATATTTAACATGAACTTTTGAATGTGTGAAATGTTCCAACTTTAACATGTGAACGTGTGTTTCAATGCACGTTGTAAAGTATGGGGGCTTTATAGAAAAGCGTTTTATGATTTTTTTTTTTACCGTTTCCATGTTTCTTATGCGGCCACTTTTACAGTATTAAAGAGACATTTAAAACATATAAATAAACAATATATAAAGACAAGATGTCACATATATAATCTGTCAAGGAAAATAATATAATGTATTTGATAGGCTATATATAGGCTACTATTTGATTATTTAGAAATTACCTGCTGTGAGCTTTCACTCTTTTTATTGTCTAAATGAATTATTACTTAAACTAACAGTGCTTCTTGATTAACATTGTATGGCAACACTGCATGGATTTTATTGGATTATAACCTTATTAAACATGTGTTTGGGTCAGTCTACCTAAAGGGTAATATCTGACTACTACACTTAACTTTAGCGTCACTCCTATGTCATATTTCTATTTAAAATACAATTTGTTTATTATGTCAACACAGTCTGTCCTTTCGCGACCTCATGTGGACATGATTCACACTTTATGCCCAGGACAGTCATCCGCTTGTAGTTTTCTCCGCTGAGTCAAAATCCGACTCTTGTTTTGGGGGTTTTCCGTAACGCTTATCACGTTTTTTTTGTTTTTTAAATAAATATATTTTTTAACCGATATTTATTTTTGTCGTGTCGGTGTAGTTTGGTGTTAAACATTTCCCCCACTGACTGACTGTGCGCCGTGCTGTACATCTGCCGAGTAGCACCTCCTCCTCCAACAGCAGCAGCGGCAGTGGTGGGACTGTACTCTCGGTTCACCATGTCACAGGTTTCAGGATTTGTAAGTTGATAGCGCTTTCCAGTTAAGGTACGTTTCCATTTCTTTTTTTTCTTTTTTAATAATTTCCAAGATAGTGTTGTGTTTTCATCCAAATTAGATTGGACAGAGTTTATTTTGGAGAGGAACGTCTGAGCCAGTTTAACCAGCGTCTTCGACAGTTCACTTTACGCAACTCAAGAGTATAAGGAAACTGAAAATGCGCTACTGCTAACACTTACAGACCAATAGTAGTGTATTAATGCAATTGGCAATATCCTGTATTAAGCACAAAGTGTGGCAGATCAGAGCGAACAGATCAAGTTAGTTGCCTGGAAGAGAGTCTTTATAGTCTTTAATATCTCTTTTATTTCGTATCTTGACACACTACCTACCATGTTTTATGTTTACATTTGTGCAAATACAGCTTCTAATGCTATCTCTACTTCCTACTACCATGCCATTTATAGCATGTAACAATCTCACACCATCAGGTATTGTCACATCTGACCTGTACTGCCCAGCTGATAAGAAGCAGGCAAAACCTGTTTGTAGTGGCCTAATAACCATGCTGAATGAAGCCTGTTATCCAGGTTGCACTGTCATGACTTTTTTTTTTTTTTTTTTTAAATAATCTCTTTTGGGAAATCCACAGTGAGTCATAGGAACTCATTCTTAAGACTTTTCTTATTAATCTGTTATGTCTCAGACAGGACTACACTTGTACAGTAGTAGACTTACTATATTCCTATATTTACTGCAGCTGATTTGCATCATGGCTGGTTTGCTGTGTGTCTCTTTGTCACTTTTTGCGTCCTCGTATGAAAATGTAGTGCTGTGAAGTGTCCTGGCCAATGTTGGCGCACACACACAGGACTCAGCAGCCCTACATGCACTCTTTGTACACTGCAGAACAAGGGCAGACTGAACTGGCACTTACAAAAAGTTGGACCACTGATGCAACCTACGTGACCGCTGCTGTGAACACACAGACTGTACGTGCTCTCAGTCCCCTCAGTAATGATACGCTTTGGTGAACAGCTGAGAAAGGACTCGCTGACCTTGATATGCTATCCAACACACACACACACACACACACACACACACGCAGAGTCTGTATGCAAATTTCTTATCAACATATGTGTGTTCAACCAAAGAGAAAGCCTTGATGTAATGTTATACAAACACCATCTTTATTAAAATAAATATCAGTCACATTTGCCATACGTCGCTTTTTACTGGCATATTTCTCTGTCCTTGTCTCTACATGTGCATTTACTGCACTTACATGCACACACGCACACTGAATTGTCACTATTAGCCCAGTCCTCCTATCTAGGGTTTGTGGCTCAGCACACTTCCCCTTGCCCCTGTCAAGAAGCAAAAGGCTTCACTGATATTTCTGAAGCACTTACAGAAGTTGTTGAGGCTGTGGTGATGCTGTGGTGGTGTGATGTTGTTGACTTACAGACTTACTAAAGGTAACTTCTCGGGGAAAATGGCACACCTGTGTTTTTAACTTTAGAGTATCACATATTTAATAGTGTTTTTTTCATGTAAATGTGGTCTGTTGTCTTCATTTGCACTGATTTTAAACTTTTTTGTGTTATCCTCCAGCCTCCAAATGCTCTTGAATGAGATGTTTTCCTGAGTTTAACTTCACATCTTGACCAAGGTTTTCCTGAGAATTACTCATCGGACCACACACAATGGCTTCCAATATAATTGTAAGTATCAGTAACTCCAGTAGTAGTTTCCAGTAAGTTCTGCAGTAAAACTGAGTCAAGTTTAAAAAAGAGATATCACTGCATTTCATCATGCTTGCTGATTTTTCAATTCTACAGGAGAATGCATTTCACTGTCATTGCTCCAAAGCAAAAACATTTGTGCATGTATTGCATCAACCACCTCAACAGCAGCTGGTGACAAGAGTTAGTGTGGGTTGTTTTGAGCAGCGAAGATTAGAATGAGATAATCTATCAAACAGTGGCATTCACAGTTACATCTGTTAAAATTCTCACAACACTTTCTATTTTAAACTTCTATTTTAGACTTGTAAACGGTTAGATGAAACCAAATTCTCATTCGCATACCCAAAGTTAACTGACCATCACAAACAAGCATGAATGGGCACACCTTAAAACTATAGTAAATATGAACAGATACCAATATTTC